TTTTTGCTTATGTGGTGCTGAGGAATTGAACCCAGGGCCTCATGCATGCAAGGCAAGCACTCTACCACTGAGCCACCTTCCCAGCCCCCCATCAACCATTTTTAAGTGTGCAGTTAGTGTTATTTAGTACATTCAGATTGTTGCATGATCATCACCACCATCCATCTCTGTACATTTTTTACTTCCCCCTCCAAACTGAAATGCACACCCATGTACTACTCTGCCATGACTGTCCATGCCCCCACCTAACCACAAATCTATTTTCTGTGTCTATGTATTTGACCAATGTAGATATCAGCTACGATAAGTGGAAATTGTACGATATTTGTCTTTTTGTGCCTGGCATATGTTACTCACAGTGTTCTTACACATCTAGGAAATACTTGTGGAGCCCCTCTATAGGCTGGGCATATGCCCTCAGGGTACCTGCATTTGCTAGTTTCCATTCATCCCCCATACTTCTCAGTTCTCTCAGTCCTCCTCACTCATGCTCCAGCTGGCCCCTGCCCTCTCCTGAAGTATCTAGTGCATTCCTGTCTCTCTGTTCCCCTTGTGTCCTCTAGTTCCTATCTTTATTTCCCTCCTCAACCTTTCCCTCTTCCACCATGATCTTAACTCCCGTTCTTTGCTCTTCACAGTGCAAGAAGTTCAGAGATCAGCTGTCCCCAAAGCAGGTGCAGACACTGAAGGAAAAGCTCTATGCCAGTGAACTGTTCAAAGGGAAGAAGGCTTCCTATCCCCAGAGGTAAAGGCCCCTAGACTACCACCCACACAGCCAGTTCCATCCAATGGTCATTCTCAAGCTTGTGCCTGCATCAGAAAATTGCCTGGCAGGATTGTGAACCCCAGATGCTGTGTCCCCTCCTCAGAGTCTGACTGAGTAGGTGGCGGGGGGGGTTCCATCCTGTGTGAGGCTGATGGTGCTGCTCCTGGACCATGCCTGTGACTCCCTGAAACAGGAGGGGGCAGAGTACTAGGCGGGACACTTGGGAAAGGAGGAATAGGGCTTTGTTCCCCACTGTACACCTCCTGTGTGTCTTCAGTGTCCCAGTGCCATTCCGCGGTGACTACGTTGGGCTTCAGGGAAATCCCAAACTGCAGAAGCTGCAAGGGAGGGATGAAGGGCCTGTTCTGATGGCAGAGACTGTGAAGAAGGTCAACCGTGGCAATGGCAAGGTGAAGAATTACAGCTTAACCCCTCCCCACAGGGGTTTCCAGGCCTGGATGGGCAGCACTGTGTGTGTGTGTGTGTGTGTGTGTGCACACGCGCGCGCACACGTGCATGCGTGCTATACAATATACAGGGTACATAAGTGAGGATTAATTCTGACTGTCCCCCATTCTTTCTTCTTCCCACCATTCTCTTTTCTTGTAGATTTCTGCTCGGATTCTTCTTCTGACCAAGGGGCATGTGATTATCACAGACACCAAGAAATTCCAGGCCCAAACCATCATTGGGCTGGACAGTGTGGCTGAAGTGTCAGTCAGCAGCCTCCAGGATGGGCTTTTCAGCTTGCATCTGAATGAGGTAGCAGAATGGGGTGCAGTGGGGCCTCTGCTGGAGAAGGGGTGGGCATCCCAGGGGTGGGGCAAACTAAAACAGCTGGGACCAGACCTCTTACTCTGGGCCTTTGATGTCACTCTTGGTGCTTCGAAGGAGAAAATAAATGAATCTTTTTCCTACTGTTTTCCTTCTTCCTAAGATAACATCAGTGGGCTCCAAGGGAGACATCCTGTTGATCAGTGACCATGTGGTTGAATTACTGACAAAAATGTACCAGGCTGTTCTGGATGCCACACAGAGGCAGCTTTCTGTCACCGTGACTGAGAAGTAAGGCCGTGAGCTGGTGGTGAGGGACGGATTGGGACAGATGACCGGGCTCATGGTCATTGTGACCGGGGAAATCATGCGATCAGAAAGTGAAGCATACTGTGTCAGGGCAGGGCTTGGAGGTGTTTCTTGGTCCCCACCCAAGTTCTCTGGGGCCTTGAGTCATCTGACAGGGTGGAGGGGTGGGGAGTGGGAGGATGGGGGTGGGGTGGGAGAATGTATCATGTGCTTGTTTCAGGGAGGAATGGGGATCCATTGTTGAAATTCTGGAATAGGAGTGAGAGGATGCAGATGTTAGCTTCAGTTCTGCAACTTGTTTTCCCTCTAGGTTTTCAGTGAGGTTCAAGGACAAAAGCGTGGCTGTCAAGGTTATCGAGGGCCCTGTAGGTGGTGGGAAGAACAAACTAATTTGCAAGAAGAAGGGGAGTCACCTGGAGGTCACTGTGCAGTGAGGGGCTGGCTGCTGCCCCACAGAGATGCAGCATCTTTCTCCCGGACCAGCATGAACCCCCTCTGCCTGCCTTTGGGGTAAGGGTGGGGGGAAATCTCATGTCTAGCCCCTCTGATGGTAAGGTGAAATAAAGAGAACACTTAAAATGCCATGTTTCTCCCTGACCCTTCCAGAACTCTTCTTCAAATGCAGTGGTCTCAGTCTGTTTGTCTACTAATAAAGATCATGTCATTCAGAAAGGTCTGGTCAGTGTGGGTGGGTCCCTGTTCCCCTGTCTCCTAACCCACTTGCATTTAGACCCTTCTTCTCCATGCCCTTTTCTGTCCCTCAGGCTCCTGGGAGCCAGCTAGTACAGATAATAAGGGAAAAGAAAGGAAATTGTCTCTGGGCTCCTTGACCGGCTGAGCTCTAGCTGGGTTTTGAGAGACCAGGATGGAGGGTAGGAGAGCGGGAGTCGGGGATAGGGCTCAGGTCGCAGGTGGCCAATGGGCTGATTCATTAAGTGTGTCCCTGGAGGGAAGAAGTGAGGATCCCTGCAATGGTGGAGACTGGGATTCTTTGAAGATTTAGCCTGAAAAGAGGCCCAAGACTGGAGGGCTCATGCATGCAAGCTGAGGTGAGCTGGGGAGTGTAGAGTCCCCTGTACCCAGGAGCTCCATCTCCCCTCCACTCAGCAGTGGGCTGCATCACACCTGCCTCCTGAGCATTCCCTGGCTTTCCATGTACCTGAGATGCTCAGCTGCTGCCAACAGTTATCTGGCTAATCACAGTTCCCCACCTGAGGCCTGTAGCTGGTGGCAGGCAACAGACTCCTCCACCCAGGCTCTGGCATTCCCCGTGACTCAGCCCCTGTCTTCTGTCACTGTCATTTTGTTTCTCAGTCTCCAACTATCTCACACCATCTTATTGTCCCCCATTTGTGTGGGCTCTGATTAATATTAATATGTAATAATTTTTTTTCACTCTCCTCCAGAGCGATTTCCCCATAGACACTGCCTTGTGTCACCATCGCTCTCTCTACTTCGTGAGGGAACACACTGCTTCTACATCCGCAGTGAAATTTAGATCAGCTGTCTGTGAGGACTTACAAAGGGCTGCCATTGTTACCGGTTCTGGAAGTCCCTTCCTCTTTTCATAATCACTCCGCTTCTTCCCTGCCTCCTCTGCTGAGCTCTGAGCTCCGCTGTGTCTTAAGGCTGGGGTCTCCCTCACCTCGCTTCCGGCTTCCATCGGCAGGCAGCTCACGGCCCCAGGTAATCATGCTGGCTGGGAGACCTGATTAAACTTGCCTCCTGCCTGCAGATTAATCTCGTTCTCTGAGCTCAAGCCCCCTGCTTCAGCATACCCTGTTCGGAGCTGAGATGGGAATCCAGTCATGAGCTCTTCGTAGGTGGGCGAGGGACTAGAACCTGTTGTGAGGGGGGCCATCTAGAGGAAGAGTCGCTCAGATTCTGGCTAGCCTCCTTCCTGACAACTCCCCCATCCTCAGCTTCTCAGAATCAGGCCATGAAGATCCTGTCTGGCTAAGAGGCGGGTGGTGACCTGAGCCCAATCGCCCCCGCTCTCTGCCTCATCTCCTGCTCCCAGGGCCCAAATTGTCGTCACTTTCCTACTGAAGTGTCTGGTCATTTTCAGAAGCAATTTCAGGAGAAAATGCAGCTGCTGCTCCCTATCCTGCGTTTCTTTCTCCAGGGCTGAGGGCATTGCCAGCTCCCAGGGTAGGGGTGGGAGTGGGGAGAAGACCAAGTCTCCGGTCCCTACCTTGGCCGTGTGGATGTATTCCTGCTTGACCACGGGCAGGAGGGGCTTCTTGCCTCCTTTACCCTTCCATCTCTACCTTCTTTTTCCTGATTGCCTTTTTTTTTTTTTTTCCTTCTGGAGTCTAAGAGCCTGAAGCCTATAGGGCTCAGTTTCCCTGCACATAACAGGGCTAAAATTAGCTTTCTCACCATGAGAGAGGAAGGAGGGAGTTCTGCCACTGGCTCTTCTCTTCAGGCTTTGAGGGGGCACGGGCTGCCCTGGGCCCCTCAGCCTCCACAAGGAGCCATTCCTGGCACCTCAGAGACTAATCCAGCTTTGGTGCGGTCCTCTTGCCTCAGTGGATCTCTTCCCCAGGCTCTGAGGGACTCTCCCCATTTCTTGTACTGTGAGTTGTTCTCAGCAGTTTCTTGGTTACAGGACCTGGCTGGATCCAGAAACTGTCCTCCTTTATTCATCCCTGGCATCTCTCTACCCAGTGTCATTTATGGCTTGCCCTCACCTCCAACAATTCTCCAGGGTATTGAGAGGGTCCACAAGTCAAACATGCGATGGATGTGTGCAGGTCATCTTGTGTACACAGCAGGTGCTGGGTCAGCCTTCACCAATAGCCCCTAGAGAAGAGCTGCCTAACCTATCTCTCTCAGCAACTAAAAACACTTTTCTGGCATCACTCAAGAGGCCATGAGGGGAGCTGCGAGGGTCTCTGGATTCCAAGTACCTTCTCCTCTTAGCATCTGGGATGTGGCTCAAGTATAGCATGGATACTCAAAGAAAGAAACGCCTTAAATGCTTCTGTAGCTGCAATGGCACTTTACGTGTTATTTGCATATGATTTGTGGGCAAATGGAAGCTGCCTGCTCAACTCTTCAAGGCCTCCGCCTTGATCACCTCTCCTGCTTAGGTTAGCATCAGCTCTTTCAAGTCTTTGCTAATCCCAGAGATCAAGAGGCAAGCACTTCTGGCCATCCCTTTGCTCTCCAGAGCCTTGACTCCTGCCATCCTCTGTGAGCTGCCAGATCATCAAAGGACATTATTCATGGAGAGCCTTTGCTGAAGCCCTGCTTCCCTGGTGTCAAGGCTTGGAAGCAGGGATGGATAGGTGGGGGTGGGGGTGGGCGTAGTTGATGCAGAGTGGTCTCATACCTCCTGCATTCCTAACTCCCTCTGCCTGCCTCACTTAGCCTTCCATTTCCAGATCAGTAGGAGGAGGAGAGAGGAGAAGGAAGACGAAGAAGATAGCTAAATGCCATTAAGAACCGCACCTGGGCTTCTCAAAAGAATGAACCTGTCAGGTCATTTGGGTGGAAACAGCCTTCGATTTCTATTCCTCATACCACCAAATGCTCCCAGTCCTGGGTCCTCGCCCATGTTCTTTGCCCACACAGTCCTGCAATTAGCTGGGTAATGAGAAGCTTTTAATGAGGCCTCATTAGCCTCTCACATAATAAAGAGGCCTTCATACCCAGCTGCTGCCCTCACTCCGGGGTGACCAAGGGCCCTGTGCAGTTAGGGTAACTTCTATGAGTATGGCCCGAGTCCCAGGGTGGCTGGCATGGGAAGAAGGTGTTTTAGGACCCTAGCAGCGCTTGAGAGGGTCCATGTTTGAGGCTAAGATAAAACAGAGAAGCTCTGGCTTCTCTTTTCATTTTACAAATACTTCCATTGAACATATATTATATGCCAAATACTATAAGATGAGGGATATTAACAGCAGACAATTTTTACCCTTGTAGCTCCTACATTCCTGGTGGAGCTGGGATGTTTGGTAAAGAGACAATAAGTAAATACCCTCATGCAGGAGAAAATGAATGCAGGAGAAAACCTGAAGGGGATGTAGAGTATTGGGATGGTTTTTTTTTTTTTAATTTTTTGGTGCTGGTCCTTGGGCTTGAAGTCAGGACCTGGGTGTTGTCTCTGAGCTTCTTTGCTAAAGGCTAGCACTCTATCATGTGAGCCACAGCTCACCTTGAAGCTTTATTTATTTTTTATTTTTGGTAGTTAATTGAAGATCAGAGTCTCACAGGCCTTTCTGTCTGGGCTGACTTCAAACCATGATTCTCAGATCTCAGCCTCCTGAGTGGCTAGGATTCTAGGCATAAGCCACCAGTGCCTGGCTTGGGGTGGTAATTTTAAATAGGTTGATCAGGAAAGCCCTGCTGAGCAGTGTCTGTAGCAAATAAGGGAATGTCTTCATTCCAAGAATGGAGGGTTCCAAACCTGCCGTCTTAGCTGGGCCATCTTCTCCCTCAGGGAGTGCTAACTGTTCTGTCTCAGGTCAGCCCACACAACAAGCAGTAAAAGGAATGGGAGATTTGGCATGAGGTGAACCTGAACTTTTGGCTCTTCATCACGGATTGGAAACTATGTGTACTGGAGTGAGTGACTGAATCTCCTCATAAAAAAAATTTTTTTTTTTGGGTCGGGTGGTGGGGCCTGACCTCTGGGCCTGGGCGGTGTCCCTCAGCTCTTCAGCTCAAGGCTAGCGCTCTACCACTTGAGCCACAGCGCCACTTCCAGCTTTTTTTTTCTTTTTGCTTATGTGGTGCTGACGAATCGAACCCAGGGCCTTGAGCAAGCAAGGCAAGCACTCTACCACTGAGCCACCTTCCCAGCCTTCATAAAAATTTTTTTAAAAAGGTATTTTCCTATGTACATGTTGGAAATACAAAAGTCAAACAGATCCCTCTATGAAAGAGTATCTTCTGAACATCAAACCCAAGCCCAGCCCCACTGGGGGAACCCCCTCAAAAGAACAAGCTGGTTTTCTTTTCTTTCTTTTTCTTTCTTGTCAGTCATGGGGCTTGAACTCTGGGCCTGGGCACTGTCCCTGTGCTCTTCAGCTAAAGGTAAGCACTCCACCACTTGAGCCACAGCGCCACTTCCAGTTTTCTGGTGGTTAGTTGAAGATAAGAGTCTCACGGACTTTCCTGCCCAGGCTGGCTTTGAACCGTGATCCTCAGATCTCAGCCTCCTGAGTAGCTAAGATTACAGGTGTGAGCCACCAGTGCCGGGCCTAACAAGCTGGTTTTCGCTTTCTACCTCCCCTATCTCTTCAGCATCCTGTCTGTCTATCTGTCTGTCACCTCTCTCTGGGTGTCTAATCTTGCCACTGTTTTGCCCCTGGGGCTCTTTCACAGACAGAAAGAAAAGGGAAGCATTTAAGAAATCAATGCTGAAGGGGAGGGATGGAGAACAGCTCAGCCATCCTGTGTGATCCTCCTCAGAGAGGAGGAATGGAAGGTAGAGCTCCAGAAGGATGCAACTGGGTCAGGCTGATTCGGGGTCAGGAAGGAGAACAGCAGGAGGCAGGTCTAGGGGAGAGGGCTTAGCACTAGTGGGGAGGAGGGGAGCTGACTGAGTTTTCTGCTCTCAGCAGTGGAGAAGCACTGACGCTGGATGTGAAGATAAGAATGGTAAAGCAGCTCAGTAGGAGGAGAGAATCCATATGTAATCCTTGTTTGTTTGTTTTTTGTCTTTTTGGTTTTGGTGGTGGTGGTGGGTTGTTTTTTTTTTCCATACCAGTCCTGGGGCTTGAACTCCAGGCATAAGCATTGTCCCTGAAATTCTTTTTGCTCAAAGCTAGCATTCTACCACTTGAGCTACACACTCCCAGCTTTTTCTGAGTAGTTTACTGGAGATAAGAGTCTCAGAGAGTTTCCTACCCAAGATGGCTTCAAACCAGGACCCTCAGATCTCAATTTCTTGAATAGCTAGGATGACAGGCCTGTGCCTGTGTTTTGTTTTTCGGTCGGTTGTGGGGCCTGAACTCTGAGCCTGGGCGCTCTGTCCCTCAGCTCTTCAGCTGAAGGCGAGCGCTCTACCACTTGAGCCACAGCGCCACTTCCGGTTTTCTGGTGGTTCATTAGAGATAAGAGTCTCACGGACTTTTCCTGCCTGGGCGGACTTTGAACCACAATCTTCAGATCTCAGCCTCGAGTAAAGGATTACAGGCATAAGCCACTGGTGCTGGGCTCTTGTTTCTTGTTTTGTTTGTTTTTTCTTTTGGGAGGGAATGGGATCAAACACAGGATGTTGCTCTTGCTAGGCAAATGCTTTGCCACTGAGCTACATCTCAGCCCTCACCTACAATCCTCTTTTTGGCAGGAGAACCTTAGCCAGGACTCTGGCAGTGGCAAAGAGGCACCTGCCTGAGCTTGAATTCAGTGCCTGGGTGCTGTCTGTGAGCATTTTTGCTCAAGGCTAGTGCTCTACCACTTGAGTCATACTTACACTTCCAGCTTTTTGATAGTTAATTGAAGATAAGAGTCTCTCAGACTTGGGGGGGGGTGAGTGGAAGGATTGGTGTGTGTGTGTGTGTGTGTGTGTGTGTGTGTGTGTGTGTGTGTGGCTTCAAACTACGGTCATTAGATCTCAGCCTCCGGAATAGCTAGGATTACTGGTGTGAACCACTGGTTGCTGGCCAAGCCTAAAGGTTTAAAGGGTGGGGAGCTGATGAGTGAACATGGAAAGAAAGGCCCAGAGGACACACCTATTGATCTAGACCTGTATGGTAATTTTGTGACATACTATACACAATAACATACCCTAGAGTGCCTATCTTACATACCTTTGGAAAGTAGGCTGTTGAACGACTCTAGTGCACTGCTGGGTCTGGAGAGAGAGAGAAAGAGAGGGGGGGGAGAGAGAGAGAGAGAGAGAGAGAGAGAGTGCACACGTGCCTATGAGTCTAGGTGCATAGCTGCAGCCTTCCCATTCCCCCAACTCAGTCTCCCCCTCCTTCCCTCCAGCCACCTTGGGATTGGTGATTCTCAGCCCCTCCCCTCAGCTCCCCATACCCTCCCAGAGCCTTTATCAGGGAGCTGGGACGGAGTTTCCGCCACCTTCCACATACCCTCCACTCTGTCTCTCTCATCACAGCAGCTTCAGCGTGTGGAGAGTGGGGAGTGCTCCCAGGCAGCTCCCGGATCCTGCCAGGCCAAGCTCAGAGCAGCTCCACAGGTAGGCTCAGGGGGTAAGGGACAATGCTTGATGGACAGAAGCTGGCACCAGGGGTCAGGGGTCCCCGTTCAGAAGAACAGAGGAGATACAGCCCTTGATAGGCAAGCAGCTTACTGGGTGAGTGTTTGGAGTCTGTAGCTGCAGACTGATTTTTTTCCTCACCAGAAAGTTTTCCTTAAGTCTTGGGGTTATTTAGTTCTGGAGAGCAGCATCCAGGACCCCTCCTCAAGGCAACTAAAGAACGAGTGCCTGTGTTATAAATCTGTCATCTTCCTTATGAGCTACAGGCCCAGGCACCATCGCTCATTGCCAGGGGGCATATCTTGGGAGCTATCTAATGGGGAAGAAGGGAAATTGAGCTCCAAGAATGGACCCCTTTTCTCAGAGATCCCTTCCATCCTCTGTAGACTAGGACTTGCCTAGGAGAGTTTAAGGCTAGAAAAGCAAGGTGGAACCTGGCTGCTGGTTAGGAGGGTCTCCGCTTCCACCACATTGTATCTTCCCCACCTCCCTGGCCTTTGCCTTCCCAGGAAACATGAGGACTACCTTGCTGTTCGCAGCCATCCTGGCTCTCAGCCTGCCTCCAAGCTTTGGAGCTGTCTGTGAGGAATCACAGGAGCAGGTGGTACCCAGTGGGAGTCACAGCAAGGTAAGGCACCCACTGGCAGAGTCCTGGAACATCACAGGGACCTGGATTCTGCCTGTTTGGACAACTGTGGGGAAGAGGAGGGTGGATGGGGTTGGGCAGGTGGTCTAACCAGGGCATTTCATCTTCCTTTCGATGTCTCTTCCTCTCTGGTCTTCTCACCTTTCCATCCTCTCCAGGGTATGTCTGAACTATCTCTGGCTCTCTGTGTGTCTTTGTACATAAAAGATGTCCTACATATGTTGTTGGGGTGGTTGATTGTTGGGTGATTTGGTTATTGGATGGTGCTGTGAAGGGGTAAGGTAGGGTGGTCTGAGGTTTTCTACAGTCAGGTTCTGTGCCTTGGTGGGCAGGGGCGGGCAGGGGGAGTGCTCTCTACTCCCTGGATAATAAAAAAACACAGTAAAAATTTCCTCTCCCAAGTGGTCATTTGCATGTTATTTCACCTATCAGTTATATGGGTTCTTTTCTTTTCAAGATGCAAATACATTCTCTTATCATCTGCGTATCCACTGTCTGTAACTTTAGGTGTATCTATGACTCTCAGTCCTTATCCTTCTTTTCTTCTCTCTCTTACCTGACCCCCAGCCTTGTTTACTCAGAATGGCAAAACGAAAAGGAAAAAGAACAAGAAAAAAGTCAGGTTGAGCCCTGATTTTCAAAGTCCCTCCAAGAAAAAGAATAGGAATTGTCATGGTGTGTGCAGGAGGAGTGCAGGAAGGAAGTCTTTTCAGGGTTTTGAGATGACAGCAATTACATTGGTACAAATGCTTTTAAGATGATTACAGGTGGGACTTATTACAAATTCAGTGTGTGAAGTCTGACTGCTTCTCCACTTCCAATCTGTTTAGCATCTCATTACAGGAGGTAGGCAGAGTATTGGAACAATTTTGGAAGAGTGGCTGCCAGGAAACTGTGTGGTTGGCTCTGTGTGTGTGTGTGTGTGTGTGTGTGTGTGTGTGATCATCAGGGCAGTCTTGCAGGTGGCAGCAGTTGCACCAGATCCAAATGACTAGTACCCATCCAGAAAGGCCTAGGGTGTGCCAAATACAGGCTGGACCTTGTGTGTGGAGCCATACAATTTCAGCCCAAGATGTCTGAACATCTGAGACAAATCTGCTACAGGACCTTGAACAATGAGATGGCCCCTCGGTCAGGTTGTGGTCACTGAAAGAGAGACCTGTTTCCTGTGAGGATGAGGAAAATCCATGTAGGAAGAGGGTAGGATGCCTGGGTGCCTAGGAATTGGGTTGGTGTGTATAGTACATTTTGGGTAAATGCATGTTTGTGCATGCACAGCAGCTCACGGACCCCCTGGGCTCTAGAAAGAGGCACTCTTAAAATTCCAGGTGAGATTCTCCAACATAATCACCAACATTGTCTTTCTACAGCATTAATTTAGGTGTACATGGCCCCTATCTACCACCCTGCTGTGGCCACAAGTTTCTAGGGGAAAAAATCATGAGGACAACGCCGAGCCCCCTGTTGTATAGCTGCAGAATTTGGGGTGCTGATTGTGGGGGAGAAGAATGTTATATTGAGCATGTATCTTTCTTGAAAGAAATTCTAGATCAAGGGCAGGAAGGGTGTGTGGGTGAAAGAGTAAAAACTAAGGCAAAAGGACATAGCGGGGAGAAAGAAAGAGAGGGGGGGCAGGGGAGAAACATGCACAACATGGCACAGAGGAGGGGAGCCTCAGGTTTGCAGGTTGCCCTGGCAGCCTGCTGTCATCCAACCCTGGGACTTAATCCTGTCTGTGATTCCATCACAGCGTATAGACTAGAGGATACTTGCTCTTTCTGACGAGGCCTTCCTTGCTTTGGGGAAATTCATGACTCATTCATAGGTAGCATATTGGTTCATGATATGCCAGGGAGAAAAGAACCTATGGCCCTTGTCACAGAAAGATGACAGAAGCTGGATAGGGCCCTAGGGAACAATCGCCCTTGAGCTTGTGAGATAGGCAATAACTGTGCCAGTTTAAGAAAATTCTGGATTCCTGGAAGTCTTTACAGTTCTGGCAATCAGGATGGTCAGCCAGCCTGCCTCCCCCACCCCCTCAAACCATACTGTACAAGTGAATTAACTGTGAATGGGGTTCAAATGCAGGTTCTTGGGTAGAATCTGTATTTCTAACAAGCTCCCTGCAGTGCTGGTCCACAAAACCACACTTTGAGTATCCACTTGTAGAGCAGACAGAGGAAATCTTGGATGCAGCTGTGAGGGCTTCAGAAGAGAGTTTTATGTGGGAAGAGAGCAAGTGGGAGGGATGTTAGTTTCCCCGCTCACCTCTCTGTTCCTCTCCGCTCACCTCTCTGTTCCTCTCCCCTGCAAGGACTCAGATCTGTACCAGCTGCCTCCATCCCTGCTGCGGAGACTCTACGACAGCCGCTCAGTCTCTCTGGAGGAATTACTGAAAGTACTGAGCAAGGCTAGCGTGGGTAGGGCCAGGCCCCGGGGAGAGGGATGAGGGGAAGGATTCTGCAGATGAGATAGGCCTGGGAGACTTCCACGGGCAGGGGGCAGGGGGACACCAGAAATGACTTAGTGAATCCATCAGGGTTTGTCATCTGAACTGCCCTTGAATTATCAAATCATCACTTCCCACCATCCATTTCTCAATTTTTTTTATTTTTCCAGATTCAAAGGAATCATCCCTTCCCCAGAAACGTGAGTAGCTTCTTCTCTCTCCCTATCTTTGCTGACCACTTGCCCAGAGCTCCATGGGCATGGGGCCCAGGGGCCATTTTGGCTGGCTCTATCTCAGCTGGTACAGACAATATGCCAGCTGCAACTGGTTGGCCAGTGTTTCTGAGTAGGAAAGGCCACCAGGGCACAGGAAGGAGGCAGGTGTGAGGGGTGTGGGAGATTTCCTCTACTGGTGAGTCATTGAAAACCAAGAGATTTACAATGGCACTGGAGATTCAAAGCCAAGGCACCTGCTGTAGAGAACTCGAAATGGAGGGGGCGGGATGGGACAAGAGTACATGCCTAATAATGGTGGGTTATCTTTGTGTCTTGCTGGGGCAAGATACAAAGACTAGATAGGCATGGTGGTGTACACTATAGTTCCCGCAGCAGGAGAATCATAAATTCCCAGGGCTACATAGGAAGATCTTATGGGGGGGAGAGGGAAGGAGAGAGAAAGACAGAGAGAGAGAGAGAGAGAGAGAGAGAGAGAGAGAGAGAGTGGAGCCAAGAAAGAGAGAGAGAGAGAGAGAGAGAGAGAGAGAGAGAGAGAGTGGAGAAACCATCTCAGAAGTTGTAACACTGTAGGTGGAAAGCATCACCTCTCCTGTTGACAGTGTTGACCTTTTTCTGCAGGTGACATGCATGATTTCTTTGTGGGACTTATGGGCAAGAGGAACAGCCAACCAGGTAGGAGTGGGGGGGGTACAATGGAAAGTCTTGGGGTGCTGGTGGTTTTAACAAATGCTTCTTGGCCTCTTCTTCCCAAGCAGCTTGGGTTTACAGTTGAGTCCTCCTGGAACTCAGAGTAGGGCAACTTTCTAAAATAGCCCTGCTACAGACGAGAGAGGACTAAGGAGGCTGTGCTTCCTCCAGCTCTGTCTTCTAGCTCTGCCTCTCATCACTAGCCCTTCACTATTGAGGCAGATTTTAGTTCCCATTCAGAAGAATCCTCCCAACTGTTGTTTATTTCATGCCAGACACTCCTACCAAAGTGAATGAAGAGAACATCCCCAGCTTTGGTACTCTTAAGCATCCTCCCAGTGCAGAATGAGGTAAGGTCCTTGGCTGGGGAGAGGAGAGGGGGCTATGTATTGGGATGAGATGGCAGCGGGGGAAGGGGGCAATTATCAGATGTGCATGCTCTCAGTGCCAGCACAATGATACCCAGAGACAGGCATGTGTGCATGCATAGATACCCACCCTCTTGTCCTCTCTCTCTCTCTCTCTTTCCTTTGTAATGGACTCCCATTGATTATTCAGCAAAGGTGAATGGTGGAAAATAGGGAAAGAAAAACTTTCCAGGGGCTGGGAAGGTGGCTCAGTGGTAGAGCGCTTGTCTTCCATGCATGAGGCCCTGGGTTCGATTCCTCAGCACCACATAAGAAAAAAGAAAAAAGCTGGAAGTGGCACTTTGGCTCAAGTGGTAGAGCGCTAGCCTTGAGCTGAAGAGCTGAGGGACAGTGTCCAGGCACAGAGTTCAGGTCCTATGACCAGACGTTCCCCCCCTCCAAAAAAAGAAAAACTTTCCATAGGGCTTTGCTAGAGGGTAGCTTCTGTTGTTTGGACCCTGTTCTCTTGTAACCTGGGCTAAGGATGGAGAAATTATCACCCAATTACTACAGGTACCACATCCTGTCCATAGGTATAGCATTTGCTTTCTGGACAGGTGGAACCTTTCTGCCTAGCATCCTGTGTTATCAGCATAGAATTCAGCCAGAGCAGAGTGATTGAGGAAGAGATAGAAGCTTAACAGGACTAGCTGGGAGCTGCCTCTTAGTCTCTCTGTGTGGTGTAATGGATTCGAGCTTAACTTTGAATCCTGGATCTGCCAGTCTCCAGCTGTGTCTCCTTGGCCTCAGTTTCTTCATTTGAAAAATGAAGGTGATGATAGATCTTCCAGGGTTGGGTTTTGAAGATGGAGCCTAGGGAAGGTATTCAGAACAATGCCTGAAGCACAGTGCTGTGAGTCAGCTATATTATGGCTCTTCCAGCCCGGGAGGTGGAGAGTGGGGGGATGTCCTAGTGTGTCTCCTGGTTGGCTCTGGTCTGTCTTCTGAGAGCCTCAGGCCTGAGTGCGCTGACATATTCTTCACTTGTCCATCAGTGTGACAATCCCCCAAGGCAAGAGCTAGTCAAAACACAGACTCTTTTTCCTGACACCATCTACCCACACACGGTGTTGACAGCTCAATGGATGGTTTTCTTTTCACTCACTTCCAAAGAAAGTGGGGGGGGGGGATGACAAAAGGAGGGAGAGTCCAGGAAGCCTCAAAGATAATCACACACAACATCAACTCTCTCCTTGTGCCCCCAGAAGCCACACTCACTGACCTCAAGGTGGCAAGTCTGAGACCCAAGGAGCTAGCTTTTGATTCTGCTTGTATATGATGACTCCTTGGGACCAGACACAGGCTCTGGCTCCTCCCATTTACTGCTGGGTGAGAGGGCACAGAGGTCTGTAATAACTGTAACTCGCTGATTATATGGTACTTACTGTATCATTTTGCTCTCATTAGATGGTTATTTCAGTCCTGCCGATGGCCAGATAATTATATGAGCAGTTATATCTGGATGGCATACTCTCCTCCAGCGTTGTACACCAGCCATAAAGATAATTACAGTGCAATTTTGCCATAGTATTTTATACAAATGGCAAAAACAAGTGCATTGTGGAAGTCTACTTTTAATGTTTGCTGGTGAATCCAAGCTCTTTCAGAGGGACCAGCCCATAATTGCAGCCTCTACAATATCACCAGTATGGAGAATTCTCAACCTGTTTGTGGTGCCAGGCAGGACTGGGACATAAGGTCCCCAAGGGCTAGCATTTAAAGAAGATCAGAGGAGATGGATGAAAACAGATCATTGTCTCATCTTGTTTCATTCATGTGAAACTGTTGAAAATGGAAGGAATCCTGGGGCTGTCCTTCCTCGGCGGGGGTTTCTGAGAAAAAAAACGGGTCAGATAAGGCAGAGATGGTATTTAGAACTAGGGTGATCTGGATGGCTCTGTGTGTGTGTGTGTGTGTGTGTGTGTGTGTGTGTGTGTGTGTGTGTGTGTGTGTGTAGTGGGGTCCTGGGGTGGTGGATATGAACTGGGTCACTATGCTTTTCTGCGTGGGGCCTGTGGAGCATGCCACAGGTACTCATCATGGTACACATCGCGGTGGGAAATGGGAAGCACTTGCTGTTAGGATAACAGCCCTCAAGCCCGAAGGCCGCGGAAACGACTGAGGGGGAAGATATCCTTATTCCTTCTTTGCTCACGAGTGCCCTTCCTGGCTCCTGTGCTTCCCTAGCGGGTGTAGGAAACGAGGGTTTATAGGACAAAGATGTGATATTTTGTGTGTGTGTTTTGTCTTCAGCACTCCGCTTCTGGACCCCTGGTCATGAAGAGACTGTCCCCTGTCCGGATCCCAAGTGCACGCTCTCCTGTTTCCCCATGCTTGCAAGATTGTTATGTTCTGACTCCTTCCCCACCCTTCTCCCTGAACTGGCATAGACATTGCATGGTGGATCTCCTAAAACCCAGGTGCATTGGCTGTCAATTCTACAGACTGCTATAGTTTCCATAGGGTTCTACATTAAAAATACAATGTCTCTCTATTCCCCAGTAATAAAGGATTTTTACATATGAGTGATGTGATATATTGTGGGATTGGTGATCAGGGAGTAGGTTTTTCTTTCCCTTGACTCTTCTAGTTACATCACAAATGAATACATACATAGATATATATGATACACAGATGATCATTAACTAGAAATACTTTTATTCTGTATGCACACTGATTGCTCCCAATAGTACCTTTACCCAGTGTTTTGCACCATTAGTGTCAGCTTGCCTCAGTGACTACAAAATTGACTACATGAATTTAGAAAATAATTTCTAAACTGGAAGACTTTTCCAGACCAGTATCATATAAAGAAAAAGTATGTATTCTAAAAGCTGGCCTGTACTTCTCAACCTCAATATCTGAATCTGACCCTACTTAATTTAGAGAGGAGCTGGGGATTGAAACTAGGCAAAGACTCTGCCACAGAGAGGAGGGGCCTATAGCCCTGTGCCAATCTCTGTCTCTAAATGTCAGGCATGGGTTCTGCGATGACAAGATGGTGGCCCACATTCAGATTTTATAGTCCAGCAGGGCTGCAGACAAGCAAATTATAACTTGACCCCCCACCCCCAGGATGAAGGGTAGACAGGAAAGTTACTGCAGAAGCCAACAAAGAAAGTCTTCAGTTTTAAATGGCTGTCCCAGATTTTTTTTCCTTACTCAGGGCATTGCTCTTAGTAGGCAGGTGCTTTGTCATTTGAACTATCTGGCTATCTTAGTTATAAAAAGCAAAAACTAGCTGGGTGCTGGTGGCTCATGCCTGTAATCCTAACTACTCAGGAGGCTGAGATCTGATGATCACGGTTTGAAGCTGTTAGCTTCATGTCTGTGAGACTTAGCTATCTCTAATTAATTACCCAAAATGCCAGAAGTGAAGTTGTGGCTCAAGTGGTAGCCTTGAGCAAAAAGCTCAGAGACAGTGTTCAGGCTTGGAGTTCAAGCCCAGGGACTGGCACCAAAAAAAGAAAGAAAAACAAAAAAGAAAACATAGCCAGGTACCTGTAGTTTACACCTGTAATCCTAGGATCTGAGGATTGTGGTTCAAAGCCAGGCCAGATACCAATGTCTGTGAGACTACATTCAATAAACTACAGCTGGAAATGGAGATGTGGCTCAAGTGGTAGAGCACTAGCCTTGAGCCAAAGAAGCTCAGGGACAGTGTCTAAGCTCTGAGTTCAAGTCCTAGGACCAGCACAACACACACACACACACACACACACACACACACACACACACACACAGTTCAGGGAGGACAGGCCCAGGCCTTAGCTCAAGTCCTAGGACTGGCACACACAAAAAAATAAAAAATAGAACTATACAACTTGTAGGTAGGGACAGGAGGGAAATACTGGGAGAGAGTGAGGGAAGGGGTGACATTGTCCAAAAAGAAATGCACTAATTACCTGACTTATGTAACTAACGCCTCTGAACATCACCTTTTGAGTAATAATAAAAAATAAATAAAAATAAAACTTTTTTTAAAGCAAAAATGGGGCTGGGAATGTATGTGGCCTAGTGGTAGAGTGCTTGTCTAGCATGCATGAAGCCCTGGGTTCGATTCCTCAGTACCACATACACAGGAAAAGCCAGAAGTGACCTTGTGGCTCAAGTGGTAGAGCGCTAGCCTTGAGCCGAAGAGCTCAGGGACAGTGCCTGGGCCCAGAGCTCAAGCCCTACAACCGACTACAACAAACAAGCAAAAAAACAAAAATATTTACTTAGATTCTATTTTGCTTCTGTTGCCAGCTTCTGCAGCACTGACTCAGTAATGTGTAGCGGCCTTATATATCACCTATGCATATGCTTGTGGATATCTTTTATTAATCCTCTGTGTCAATGATCACAGTCCATTGACCCAAGGGTGTTCTGTAACCCCAATGAAACAGCCCGGGAAATCTTCAAGCACCCTAATCTTAGCCTGGTGCCAGGGCTTGATTTTGTCCTCAATTACACCGATAGAAAGTCAACACTCAGCTCTTCTGAGACAGTGTCAAGGCAGGTCTTGAACCAAAGTCCATTTCCTGAAGTTCTTTCACCCCAGTGAAAGTGCTGTTTCCAAGAGCTTTGGACTTACCCAATGCAGGGTAAGGAAAGGAGAGAATGCTCACCTTCATAGTCAAAGGTCAAACTATACTCCGCATCCTAAACCCTAGAGCCTTCTCCAGTGAAACATCCCTTTGACTTTTCAAGATTAGCTATCTATAATATAGAAATGTGTAGACATTTTTGTGGAGTTTGAAGAATTTCTTGAGGTCAAGAAAACTACAAGAGTGCAGTCTGCTTACACGAATATATGTGGAGGTGAGACAACGAGTATAAATGCAGAAAGGTTGCTCTCTGGTGGGGCTGACAAAAATTGCAGTACCAGGGTAAACAAAAGTAAATTTTAAATCAGATTCCCTCCCTCCCTCCCTTCCTCTTTCCTTCTTTCCTTTCCTTCCTTCTCTCTCCTTTCTCACATTGTCCTTCCCTTCCTTCTTTCCCCTCCTTTTCTCTTCTTTCCCTTCCTCCCTCCCTTTCCTCTCCCTTCCTACTTCCCTTTTCTCTCTCCCTCCTTTCCTCCTTCCTTCCCTTCTTCTCCCCCTCTTTCCCTCCATTCCTCCCTGCCTCTCTCCCTTCTTCCCTCCTTCTCTCTCTCCTTCCTTCCTTCCTCCTTCCCTCTTTCCTTTTCTCACCTTTTCCTTCCTTCTTTTCCCTCATTTTCTGTACTCTCCCTCCTACCCTCCCTTCCTTCCGTCTTTCCTCAGGGTCTTAGTATGTAGCCCAAGCTGGTCATGAATTTGCTACATAGCCCTGGCTGGTCTTGAACTACCAATCTCCTGCTTGGACTTCCAGAGTACTAAGATTTCATGTGTGCACTACCATGTCTAGCTTCTAGATTCCTATTTCTGGGCTTAGATGTGTGAAGGGATCTAGACCCTCCTCATCCTGTTGTACATATATGTCCTTGTGATTGTGTACTAATCTACTTTGAAAGACTTAAGTGTAAACAGTATAAACTTTCATCTATACCCTTCAGGTGGTTTGTTAGCTCATGAAGTTCACTGGGGTGAACATTCCAAAGACAGCTAAAGCAGGTGATTAGAAAGACTGAACAAGCCAGGCACCAGTAGCTCATGCCTGTAATCCTGAGATCTAAGGATCATGGTTCAAAATCAGCCTGGGCAGGAAAGTACATGAGACTCTTATCTTTAATACCCCCCCCCAACTCCAAAAAAAAAAAAAGCTGCAAGTGGAGCTATGGCTCAAGTGGTAGAGGGCTAGCCTTGTGTAAAAAAAGCTAAGAGATATAACTTAGGCCTTGAATTCAAGCCCTAGAGCTGTGTGTATTTGTGTGTACACGCATGCACACAGACAGACAGAAATATTGAACAGACATGGACCCTGCAAGTAAGCCATGCACTTCATGACTGTGTGAGTCAGGCTGGAGGCTGGTATGACATTCACCTCACACAGACTTGGGGGCTGGGCCTGCCACAATAAGGACAAAGTAGAACTGCCCACCCCCAGACTCTAAGAACAGGTCTTTTAGCCTTTTCTGTGACTCCTTACTAATAAATGGTACATCTTTGGCAGCATTTGCTAGAGTATTTGCTTTAGATATCATGTACCACCAGTCTGAGAGGGTGGAAATGAAGACACATGATCTTCCAAAGAGAAGTGACCATCACTAACTTAGATCATTGACAACATCTAGTGCCCCTCCTCATCATTGATCCATCAAAGAAATACTGAACCCTACCACATGCCTGTCCGGGGTAGGTGTTGGTAGTGGGCTAGCTTCAAGCAGGAATGGGATGGGAGGGGAGGGGAGGGAGGGCAGGGGTGAAGAGGAGAGAGGAAGAGGGAAGAAGGGGTAAAATTGAAGGGTTTGGAACATGAAGGCTTCTTCCTTTTTAGAAGACAGAATGTGGGTAACCAGGACCTCACATGTCTTGGGGAGTGATGTAGGGGCCTGCAAGTGTAGGTAGTTTTAGCTCGACGACGATTCTTTTTTTTTTGGGGGGGGGGTCCAGTTGTGGGCCTGAACTCTGGGCCTGGGCGCTGTCTCTCAGCTCTTCAGCTCAAGGCTAGCGCTCTACCACTTGAGCCACAGTGCCACTTCCGGCTTTTTTTCTTTCTGCTTATGTGGTGCTGAGGAATCGAACCCAGGGCCTCTGGCATACAAGGCAAGCGCTCTACCACTGAGCCACCTTCCCAGCTCCCACTTTTTTTTTCCTTTTTAAAAAGGACATTTTAGCCCTCAAGCGCTCCTTCATTCATTCGTTGTCACAGACTTTGGTTAAGCACCTAGCACCTGTGCCAGGAATTGGCGTGCCAAACCGCGGCTCCCTGCGTCCCAGGAAGCCCACCGTGGTGGAAGAGACAAGTGAGCCAAGCAACTTGGGGCCGTGACAGAGCGAGAACGGGGGAGCTGACTTGGGACCGGGCTCTGCCCCTCCCAGGTGGTGCAAGGATCAGGACGGGGTGGGGACCAGCTCCGGCTCGGCCTGCTCGGGGCTCGTGCGCGGCCCCGCCGTGAGGGGGCGCTGCCTCCTCCCAGGCGGCGGGGGGCGCTGCGGCC